TGGAATTCAAGGTAAGAAATGGTTAAATTAAGGGTTGCATAATTTTTGCATGTTCATAACTTGTTCTGTCAAAGTCTATGGCTGGATTTTAAAGATTATTTTGGAAGGACAAAGTACAGGAAAGATTGTGTGGCTGTGCAATTCAAGGTAAGAAATGAATTGGTTAGATTAAAGGTGGCATAATCTTGATGTCATGATTTTTTAAGTTCTTCTGTTAAACTTTAAGTTAAAGACTGGAATTTAAAGATTATTTTGGAAGAACAAAGTACAGAAAAGATTCGTCGATGAAGGTTAGACATCCAGGTAATACGATATGCCAAAAAACAGTTACTCAAGCAACTGGATATGATTTTGAAAACGTCAGACGTTTCAGCTAGTATCCACTAGCTTTCGTCAGTGACTGAGAGACCAGAGGGGAAAGCAGGTTTATATACACAACCTGTTGATTGATATGCAAATAAAGTGAAGACAAATTTTTGGAAGTCGAAAAAGGAACAAAAGTCAGACAAGTCAAGACAAGATGATGCAAATTAGTCTGAAAGCTCCTGTTATACAGAAAAGATTGTGTGGGTGTGCAATGTTTGGAATTCAAGGTAAGAAATGTTTAGATAAAGGGTTGCATAATTTTTGCGTGGCATAATTTTTGCACGTTCATAACTTGTTCTGTCAAAGTCTATGGCTGGATTTTAAAGATTATTTTGGAAGGACAAAGTGCGGGAAAGATTGTGTGGTCGTGCAATATTTGGAATTCAAGGTAAGAAATGGTTAAATTAAGGGTTGCATAATTTTTTGCATGACATAATTTTTGCATGTTTATAAGTTGTTCTGTCAAAGTCTATTGCTGGATTTTAAAGATTATTTTGGAGGGACAAAGTACAGGAAATATTGTGTGGTTGTGCAATATTTGGAATTCAAGGTAAGAAATGAATTGGTTAGATTGTGGGTGGCGTAATTTTTGAATGACATAATTTTTGCATGTTTATAACTTGTTCTGTCAAAGTCTAGGGCTGGATTTTAAAGATTATTTTGGAGAACAAAGTACAGGAAATATTGTGTGGTTGTGCAATGTTTGGAATTCAAGGTAAGAAATGAATTGGTTAGATTGTGGGTGGCGTAATTTTTGAATGGCATAATTTTTGCATGTTCATAAGTTGTACTGTCAATTCTATTTTATTAGGGTTGTATACTGATCTTTAGCATGTCATGCTCACAAATTCTGTTATTGTTAATGTAACATGTACAGTTTTCAATGTTTTGTGTGTCTGTGTACCGAGACCTTGAAGTGGTGTTTTTATTTTCAAAGAGGGACTTTTACATACCAGTGGTCTAAGCCTCAATTTGTTTCCAAACAGTGAAGTAAAGTTTTTCATTGTGACACGACACGTACATTTTTGCAATGTTTTGTATTTCTGTGTACCGCAACATTGAAGTGGCGAGTTTATTTTCAAAGGGATCTTTACATACCAATGTCAGACTCAGAAGCATTGCAACCATAGACTAGTAAAATGTATTTTTTTTCACTTTAACATGTAGTCACAATTTTATGTTTTTGTGTATTGCAACCTTGAAGTGAGGAGTTTATTTTCTAAAACGAATTTTAACATACCACTAGCCCAAGCGTTTTTAGCGTCTAATTGTTCCCTAACAAGAGAACCCCTCTGTTCCTGACCTGTGCTCACAAGTGAAGTCACCCCTGTCATGCCTGCAGGGTGAACTGTCTCGGTTCAGGGGAAAAGCTGTTTGGGGACAGAAACGGACCAGGTAGCATCGTGGGAAGGGTGGTGGGGTGAAGGTACTGTAGCTTGAATATTATTAGCTAAATTCAATAGTCTAGAAAATACAACAAAGGTTTTACCATTGGTTCTGATACATGTACTTGAATGTCAGTATAAGCTATATAGTATAAGTAGTGTACAATTATCTTTACCTTTGTAACCTGACACATATACATGTATATACAAACTAGAATGAAGGGTGGTGGGGTGAAAGTATTGTAGTCCCACCAGACTCCCTTGCAGGCTGAATAGATAGTAGAAATGCAGGCTGGTAGTCGTGGTAGAAATGCTAGCAAACTGGACCCTCTATGGCCAGCCAACTCCCCTGGCCAGCAACATTCTTTTTAGACCTATTTCTACTATTTATTCAGCCTGCAATGGAGTCTGCTGGAGACTACTAGTAGTTGGATGAAGGGGTGTTCACTTGTTTGTATTACATGTACTATATAACCAAGGTATAAACTGACAAACATGGACCAAGTAGCTTCGTGGGAAGGGTGGTGGGGTGATCGGTGTGTTCGCTTGTTTGAATCTTCAAGTACAATGTAGGTACAAAACTGATGTTGATATTATTTTACAGGTACTCTATTATTATCATCTGTATTAACATAAGTCTATATATACTTTTGTTAGACTTAGTGACTTGTGTTAATACAATCTTTTGCATCAGATGACATGCCGTCTGTAGTTTGGAAATGTTGTGTCAGAAAATATATATGTTTGAAACATCCATTGAAAACCTGGGGTTTTGCACAGGCACAGTGCCTATATGCTTTGTGTGCTTTGTGTCTAACATTGGCTAGCCTAGAAAGAGAGGCTAACCTAGATCTCTACCCACATTCCCCAGTACATGTATGTACAGTGTAACTGTAACCATGACTAGGCAGCTATGTCTACCACTGATTTATATAAGCACTGGGACAGAGCTTTAGTTCAAGGGTGGCATAGCTCAACTCTACATCAAAGCAAGGGCACACACTTGGAAGTCCACCACCAACTCGGGAAATGTCTGGAATACGAGAAACGTCTGAAATACGCTGAGAGCAATTATGACTTTGACAGGAAATAGCTCTTTCACCAGCAGGAAATGACCTAAATGTCGGCCTTACAGTTCAATGACCTTGAGACAGCGATTATGTAGGCACTTTGGGGAGCCAGACACATTTTACAATCAAACTGGCCTGCGCAAGCTGTAAACTTATGTAAACATGTAAATAGGACCCAGATATAATGGGGGCAGTCTTACATGTATGTTGTACACCCTTACAATGTTCTGGTACACAGGGCTATCAATTTACTCTCCAAGCAGAGGTTTGGGTTTTGGCCAATTTTTGCAATATTTCTAGGCTTTTTTTCAGGCTTTATTTTCAGCACAGTAAAGCTTATTTTTTCTTACTCTGGAGGCAGAAGAAGTGTGTCATTAGATCAACTGTTACTTGTGTACGTAGGCTGGTTTCTGGATATTCCGTTTCTTGCATATTCAGTGGCAATAGAGGCCAGGCTTTTAGCTAGGCCAAGGGGGTGTCCAGGGCGTCTTTTGGACGCCCTGTACTGAAAATAGTAAGAAATTGGACGCCCTACTTTTTGGTAGGACACCCTAAAGACGCCCTATTTTTTTCACTCCCAACCCCTGCCATGCACACATGCCTCCTTTCAGCATACAAAAATGGTGGTTTACTGAAGGAATAAACTCCTCAAATTCCTCAAAATGCAGAAAGTTGTGTTTGAGAGAATTATGAATGTCAAAAAAGCCCCCCTAAAAAGGTCACACACTGTGCGTCTTTGCTGCGTACAGTAAAAAAATGGACACCCAACAAAAAAATCCTAGCTAAAAGCCTGATATAGGCTGTACAATGGCTGTTGTAGTTGATGTCCATTTTGAATGATGACTGCTGTGAGATGCTCATACATAAGTGATGGTGCTCCGTTGTTGGTGTATCACGTAGCATGCATAATCTCATTACCACAACAGATAGCCACTTTATATGTCATTATGGGCCATTATGTGAGCCGTGATATAGTGTTCCATGTATTCATGTTGAAAGAAAGGAAAAAAGTGAGGTATTTTTAGTAGGAATTGAGCAAATTCAGTTACAAATTCATGTACCACCCTGGTAAAACAATGCAAAACAAAATTACAAATTGAAATGCCTCATATTTTATAATGTCAATAAAAATAAACTTAGAAAATGAGCTCAAATATTAGCTAATTTCAAAATTCTAGAGATACGACAATGATTTTATTTTTATTCATTTTTTGACACATGAATGTCCAGAATATACATTACCAACTATGTAAGTTGTAACCCTACACATATATCTACAGTGTAAGTATACTGGTGCATCCACAGTAAAACAAGACTTAGAGTACAGTTCCAAATTTTTATGGACAAAAGTGCATTGGGACATTGGCACCTGGTATTGAACTGGGCACGAAAGTACACTAACTCTGGTCTCAGCTGTTTGTGCATGGTTTGCTAATTGGTGGCTGTATTCTCTAGGCTGACATATTCCCTATCCTTTTAGTATGGTCATCAATCAAGTACTGACAGCCTAAAATCACAGGAATCTACTGTACTGGAACTCTTTTGTGTTTGTGTGAGTGTGTGTGTGTGTGTGCGTTTGTGTGTGTAGTGTCTGTGTGTATGTGTGTGTGGATGTGTGTGTGTGTTTTGTGTGTCTGTGAGTGTGTGTGTGTGTGTGTATGTATGTGTGTGTGTGTGTGTTTTTGTGTGTGTTTGTGTGAGTGAGTGTGTGTGTGTGTGTCTGTGTGTGTGCGTGTGTGTGTGTGTGTGTGTGTGTGTGTGTGTGGATGTGTGTGTGTGTGTTTTGTGTGTCTGTGTGTGTGTGAGTGTGTGTGTGTGTGTGTGTGTGTGTGTGTTTGTTTGTGTGTCTGTGTGTGTGTGTCACTGTGTTTTTTTGTGTGTGTGTGTGTTCGTGTGTGTCTGTGTGTGTTTTGAGAGTGTGTTTGTGTGTATGTGTGCGTGTGTGTATGTGCAATTATACATCTGTATGTCTGCATCTTAATTCTTATCCATATTTTCCCATTAGAAATGGACTCTGCCTGTGGTCTTGTGACAAGATATATAAGATCACCTTAAATCAACCACAAACCACTTAGATCCATTAGCTATTGATCTACGAGTGATGTAGTGATAAATGAGCAAACAATTTAGTGTAAAACAAATCGCTAATAGTCCCTATTGTTTGGTTTGTATCGATTTCAGATCCTAAGCTGACACAAAGAATCTGAAGAAAGGTTAGGTCATCTGAAGAAAAAGACTTGAAGAAGGGGGCAACTGGAGTTCAAGGTCAAGATTTAAGGTGAGGTCAGGGTTCAGGGACTGTCTGGTTTGTCTCACATGTAGGTTTTACTTTTGTCTCTCACCAGAGTTTTGATACAAGCAATGTGTTCTACTAGGTAGGAAGACAAAGAAGATTTTTGCAGTGTTGATAGCCCAAGAGCTACCTATCATCCACATTTTGTAACCCTAAGTTGTCTTGATCATGAGATATTCAAACCGGAAGTTTAGCAGCAGTACCATAATAAGCTGCAAGGTGGCTCAAAATCTAATCATTTCCAGGTCTCATAAAGACCTACCCACCTACTAGTACCAAGTTTCATGACAATACATTTTAGCCTTCTTGAGTTATCGTCCTTATAGTATATATACAGATGCACACACACTCGAACGCTGCCGAAAACGTAACCTTCTTGGCGAAGGTAAAAAGCCTTTGCCAAGGGTACAACAGTGGGCCCTGCTAGGGATTCGAACCCATAACCATTAGATTCAGCTAACCACCCTAACCACAAGACCACTTTGCCACCTCAAATATCTCACACACTCACTCACTATATATCTGGTTTATCGTCTGTTGTTCCCTGACTTTTGAGGGTTAGACGTGTTTGCACATTGATGCTGATGCTTGATGGCAGCCCTCCACTTGCCTCTATCCTGTGGGTTGACGTTATGTAGGCTCAAATGGTGGAAGTTCTTGCCTACATATTTGAAGAAATGGTTTGACAACACAAGGGAGGTCCTCCCTTACATGTATGTTGTCAAGCCATTTTTCTTCAAATATGTAGGCATTTGGCTGTAATGTTTAGGTATTGGGTTCAGGAGTTCAGAAGGTAACTAGAGGACTGCTAGCTAATGTTTTTACTGGTCAAAGTCTGAAGTTATATGGTTGAATTGTTGTCATATTTCTTTTGTTCAGTTCCAACCCCAAACATAATTGTAGACAGTAGAGGCAAGCAGGATGTTATTTGTCCAAAACAATTGTATAGATCTATAGCTATGGAAGTGTTTGACATGTTTAAACAAATCGATTCGAAATTGATAAGGATTTTGGAGTTGTTTTTTTGAAGGCACAATATTATTGAAGGAAATTCAAGCAAACATAATACATAAGTATGCAGGATGTTATTCATCCAAATTAATTGTGTACCTAAATTCATGAGTCAAAAAGCATTCAGGAATTTTTTTTTATTGTTGAACTTGAAAAAAGATTGAGCAGGAAACATAATTTCATAATTTGTGTACTTAATTCTAGCTTAGTCTAACTAATCTAGCTAATCATAATATACAACCCAATAGATTGAAAACTGATGGGAGGAAGCATTCTGGAGGTGGAATTGTTTTTATTTTCAAGTCAAAAGAAGTTCAAACCCCAAACATTATTGTAGGATCATGGTAAAAACAGGATGCCATTCATCCAAATTGATTGCGTACCTACAACTGTAGTCAACTGTTTGACATATTCATCATCATCATGACATATTCAAGCGTAGTTCAATTCAAAATTGATGAGTGGAATTGTTTTTACCGGTGAAAGCTGGTCTGTTTTGCAGCGGTAGTTTGCATCTAGAGTGGATGTCAACATAATTGCAGAGGCATAAAACATATGATATGATTATGATATATACTTCAAGCTGAGTCACATGTTTGACATATACAAGAGGGCCTGCATGCCCTTTTTCGTAAGGTGTAATCAGGCCCTTTTAGACTTCGTAATCCGTAGGCAGCCTCCGCAAAAATCAACTTAATTCGTAATATTACATTAGCCGCAAAGCGTTAAGTCGTAATCAGCTCTGAGACTTTAACGTAACTTGTAATCGGCGGCATAAATTTTGCGTAATTCGTAATCACTACCCCCCCCATGCAGACCCTCATACAACCAAACAGATTGAAAATTGATGAGATGAAGCATTCTGGAATTGTTGTTTTACCGGTGAAAGCCTGCGGTAGTTTGTAGAGAGTGGATGTCAATATTTGATCATTCCGACATTTTTGCGCTGGTCTGTCATCTGGTGTTGAGGCGGCCTTTATGTGGTGTTTTGGTTCTGTGGGTGTAGAAGTTGCAGTGAATAGGTGTTGATGGTCCGTTTCACAGTTCGCTGCCAAAGCTGGTAATGGGAATTTCATGTACCATTACTGCTACATTGGCATATTGATGTGATGTTGTGAAACTACTTAGAAGCCTTGTTATGATATTGTGGGATCCTTTGTCTTCCTCTGTCCTCAAAAAAAGAAGTCAAACCCAGTAGTTTTTTTACTAGTACCAAGGACATTATACAGACATGTATAATGTCCTTGGTAGTACAATGTAGGTTCTTAGTAGTATCAGTAGTTCTATATGTACCAATTGTCTGTTTTTATACCAAATGTTTCTTCTGTTCCTGCAATTAGCCCTCGGGCAGGAATTTGCAATAAAACAAATTTAATTATAATGTAGAATTTAGGACTGAAGAAAATGATACTAACACCAAAAAGCTCACTGCAAAAGTTAGGAGATAAACAGTAAGTTAGAAAGTCAATTGTTCCTGTGTAGTGTCACATGTCTGACATGTGGAGTATTAGGCTACATGGAGATGTCTATACCAAAAGGTCAGGCACATGGTTCTCATGATTTTGTGTCCTGTTCCTGTTTAGGACTGTTGACATCAGTCAGCGACAAGCACAATAGATCCTTTGCTGACTAGACTAGTGGAGTCTGTTACTGACAAATTTCTCTTCAAATTGGATTTAGAAAGATCGGAAAGATATACATTGTACTCATACATGGCTGGCAATATTAATAAAGGAAGAATAAATGTGTCCTGTTCCTATTTAGGATTGTTGACAACAGCCAGGGACAAGCACAATGGATCCTTTGCTGTAGACTAGTCTAGTAAAGTGTGAGCATCCATGGTGAAAATACACCAGCTAGCTTTCTGAGCTGACTCTTCTTTGCCAAGGTACCTGTAATTGAATCCTGACATGACTCTATCAACCAGAAGACTTTCTGATGTCTATCTAGTCTGGGTCACTGAAACCTCTAACCTACATTGTAGGTAACAAATTCGGAGATGTCTCCAGAGTTAGCCTGGATACCAGACTGTTCTTGGGGTCAGTACACAGGCCAGTTTCAGTCCTGGAGTATAGGAGCATGGTAGAAGCTAGCCTGTATACTGGCCCTGGCAACAGCCTGGCACCCAGACTAGCCCTGGAGCCGAGGAGCTAGCCTGTATTCCAGGCTATTCCAAAGTTTATGCCAACAGTCTGGCACCCAGGCTAGTCCTGGAGCCAAGGAGCTAGTCTGTATACTGACCCTGGCAAAAGTCTGGCACCCAGACTAGCCTGTATACTGGCCCTGGCAACAGTCTGGCACCCAGGCTAGCCCTGGAGCCGAGGAGCTAGCCTGTATACTGGCCCTGGCAACAGTCTGGCACCCAGGCTATCCTGTATATTGGCCTTGGCAACAGTCTGGCACCCAAGCTATCCTGTATACTAGCTCTGGCAACAGTCTGGCACCCAAGCTATCCTGTATACTAGTCCTGGCAACAAGTCTGGCACCCAGGCTAGCCTGTATACTGGTCCTGGCAACTGTCTGGCACCCAGGCTATCCTGTATACTGGCCCTGGCAACAGTCTGGCACCCAGGCTATAGCTAGTCCAAAGTTTATGTGGCTTTTACTGCAACAGGTACAACATGAGTTAGCTATCCCAGCTGTGTTGTATCAGTCAACATGGGATACATGCTGTCCAGATTGGCAGGAAAAGGAAGGGTGGAAGGGCCTTGTCCTGTCATAGAGGAAATACAACTTGTTTGGGCAATATTATGGGGAAGTTTTTAAAAAATGGATGAGTAGAAAGGTACATGAAGAATTACTGACAGATAGATAATTATAAGGATTAGCAAACTTTAAATTTGTCACAGTTATCAAAGAGGAAGATCCTAGGGTGGCAAAAGACAGTATCAAAATTCAGATTGGCCAGGCAGTATCCATTTGCCTTGCGTGGCGTATGGACCCTTAATAGTGAACGGATACTGCCTGGCCAATTTGATGCTGTCTTTTGCCACCCTAGGATCTGCTTGGAGATGATGAAAAACTAAAAAGGGACAACTTTTGCAGCACCTGTGACCTTTTCAAAACTAGACGTGACATTTTGTCATTTAATTTTGACACCACCTGCCCTCTAGTTAGGGTGAACACCGAGAAGCAAAATATACACCCGTAACCTACAATTTACAGACTCAGAAACTCAAATTACAAGTAACGAAATCTGTCAACCTATAAGTCTTGCAGAGTAAAATATCCATGACATATGTTGAATCACCATTGGCTTGAATTCCAAAATGCTGATGTATATATACTCCAATAATCAAAATGTGTGAATCATTTCCAGTACCTGCTGTGCACTGGTGCACCTTAATATTTTTGTAAGTTACCTTCAGTAAAAGTGTACAATGTATTTTACTTCCAAGTATGGTGTGTCAAAATAACCTTTTTGATTTACTAGTACTTTTTAAAAATTTTGAAGTCAGAGTTTACGTTCACAACAGGAGCATTAATGTTGATAATTTGGCATTCCTTATATTTTAAGTTTTATGTTGTGCACCCAAAATATGTTTGGTGCACCTAATTTTCTTGGTTCAGTACACCAGTGCACGTATTAAGAAAATTGAATTTCGACCCCTGGGTATTTATTATATGTGTCCATGCCTGCCAAAACTTTGAACCTCGTGTTGGCCAAGCATGGATACAACTACATGTACGTAAGAGACATACGTCATGCAGAAATGAGTACTTTGATAAGAAGAGCCACACAGAATTGTTGGCCACGCCCAGACCACTAACATTTGGACCTAGCAATTTGGGCTAACTACCATTAGGGCCTAAATTTGCCAGCAATTTTACCAAATTACGGCAACAAAGTAGAAAATCTCTGGGATTTGGGCACACCAAAGTACCAAGATTAACCAACGGTGGTCTTTGAATTACCGCGGAAGTGGGGAAACTGTTGTTTTGAAAACATCTCCACATGTACATGAGTCACTCAC